ATGTGATAAGTTGCATTGTTATTTTCAAATATTGACATGTTATTATCAGTTTATCAGAGAGATTTGCCTGGCAATCTAGCACTTGATTATATTTCATTTAGAGCATGGTTTGGGGGCCTGGGAAGCTGCAGATTTACACTAAAATACAAGGGCATGGTTGCGAAATACAACGCATCAATCCAATTACATGCCGCCTGCGATCTTGCGTAAATTTGACCGGGGCCATTATTTGGGGCGCGGGCGGAATAAAGAGCCGTGAATTTTTGGCGGTCCGGATTTAAAGTAATGCCTTATATATATGACCATGTCTTTCAGACTAGTGTTATCAGCCCTGTGGGGGAATGTCTGTTTTATCTCCCATCCGCTCAGTACGATTACCCTTCACTTAAACCAGTGACACCCTCTTTCTTTGTCAGTGGCTCCCTCCGCAAGCGTTCCCTCTCCATCGCTTCTTTTTGGAACTCATTAGTGAGATTTTTCTAACTTTACAGTTTGACACTCTCAGAACAGCTGCTGTGTTTCTGAGCGGGGTTACTATAGTGGGAAGCAGTACGAAAGGCTCCAGCACAGCATGTGCACTGTATATAAAATTTATGCATAACTAAAATATCCTGTTTTAAAATTAAGGCAGATCTTTAGTCCGTTCGTTGTTGACCGGTATCGGAGGGAGAGAGAGAGAGAGAAAGGGAGGTATGGTCGATAATCCCTGCACACTTTTCACCCCAGTTCCTCGTTTTCCTTTTCAGTAATTGAGCTCTGAGATTGTTCCAGTGCCTTCCAAAAATCTCTGAAAATATTCAGACAGAGCCCAAATGAATTATTCTCCTTTTTTGGACATTAATTAATTGTCCACCTCTTTTCCTCCCCATATTCCAGCACTGTGTTTCAGGAGGGGGTATTGTATTTCCCAGTTAACAGAAAGGCCGGTGTGTATCTGGAACTCAGGGTTCACTTACCCTGGTCATTAGCCAGCTGGTAACATCTAATTTAAAGTCCCCAGCACGGGAAGTAATGGAGTAGGGCTGACACTACGGGTACCCGTGAGTACCAGGGGGGTGAGTACCGTCACAAGTACCTGCGATATTAGCCACCACCACCGCCCCATAACACAGCTGCTGGGATTGTCAGTGTAGGGTTGCAGTACCACGGCAGGGTTCCGGGTGGGTGGCACTCTCAGAACACCCGGGATCAGGTTTACATTCGGAAACATGAGAGGGAGGGGAACGGGGGTGAATAGTGAGGAAATAGCGGTAGTGTGCTACCTAGTAAGAACTACGGTTACTAACTAGGACAGGAGCACCGCGGACCACTGATAAATAACAACCTACTTCAGTCCCTCCTAATGATGATCTAAAGATGGAAGACTTCTGTTCGGAATTGGGGCCTCAAATTTCAAAAAATCTCTGCCGAAGTGAACATTGTCCACCCGAGCCCAGGCGGCTTGAGTGTTTGTGCTGGATCTCGGTGTGCCTACACGTTTTTTCGGCATTAGGCAAGCGAAATAACATATATCGTTCCTTTTAGCAAAGTCGGTCAAACAGCTCGCTTTTCCGCGCTCATTTTCGTTTGATATTGTTGTTTTTGTGCTGTCTAAAACCTGCTCTCGTTCTCGTCTTAAAGCCTAGCCTGCACCACTCCTTGTTTGATACCCCTGCTCTTTTCCCCACTTTAATCCCCATTAACCAGTTCCCATTATACCCGCATATATAATCCACAAACACCCCTACCCAGAGATATTTACCCTACTACAGGTCCCCACATACCCTCTGATAGACGGCTATCCAGGTCTAGGCGTGACAGGGTCCCTCATTTCCACTTTATACTGCCAGTTAGTGCACTATAGATAGACCCACTCTGGGTTGGTAGACCGTGGAAGTTAACTCGCAAAAACACAAACCCTGCTGCCCTAGTCCTCTTAATGAAGGGAAGAAGGGACCAGGTTGATGGAGTACATAATTGAATATATGAGCTAAAAGCATGAGTGAGGGAGGTAGTGGAGTCACTTAAAACGGTAGGGGGCGAGAGGGTCTGGGGGTGTTGTGAGCAAGCTTTATGTGGCTGACACGTGACACAACCTATTGGGTAGGCTTTAGAGAGGGTCTCGCTAATGGATATGACTTGCTTTGCAAAGTTATCACGGAATTACAATAAACTGCTTACCACTGTATCGGGAGAGAGAGGGAGAGAGAGAGAGAGAGAGAGAGAGACCAATTGCAACACACTATTTGAATGACTACACTATTACAATGGGTATAATCTTCATTATATGTGTGGTGGAGCCAGGCAGGGGTTGTGTCTATAAGTATAACATGGGTATCTCCGGTCTTTACTGTGACCCTTGTGTAGCCTTTATTCACCTCCTCCCCTTCCTTCACCTCCTCCCCCTTCCTTCACCTCCCCCTTTCCTTCACCTCCTCCTCCCTGGCTGTTCACACACGTCAGGCATAGTCCTCTCAAATAGCTGTCAGACCACTAAATCTTCTCCCTCGTGGCTTGATCAGATCTCATCACCTGGCTTTAATAATGCCGACATTACTTCCTCCTTCCACCCTCCTTCTCCTCCTCTCCTTCTCTCCTTCTCCTCTCCTCTCCCTGAAACGTCCCCTAGCGTCCCGACACTCTCGCCGCTATTTTTGAACTGTAACAATCTCCAGCGTGACAGTCGCCTCAAAAACTACTTAGCCACATCTCATGACTTTACCGGCTGAAGAGCGTTGCCTTTACTCGGCGCTGGTCACGTGACAGAGCTCCCGGGGTCACGTGATGTTTCTCAGCACGTCATTCTGGTCTTGATATTGGCGGGAGAGAGAGAGACGTTTTCTCTTTACTGCTTCTTAGATCAACTTTCCAGTTTAATCCACCTCCGTTTTCCCAGTTTCGCATTTCCAATTGGTTCTTAAAAACGTTTGTCTACCCGTCAAATGATCGGCTGAATGTACACAATTTCTCTGCTGTTCGTACTAAGTCACGTGACTCACTCGGACCAATCACAGCGTGTCACTACATATACGACATTATTATTTTCATTAACATCTCTAGTTACGGTTGTCTTTGCTCGCGTATGTCTCCGTCTTCCATCCTATCTATATATTGTACTTTGTTCTCCTGCTATCTGATATCTAGATACATTGTAGCGGTATTCATTTTCACGAGAGGCGATGATAACGTTTAGTTTGTTGGCCAGCTCTCCTACTCGATGTAGTTACAATAATATCCGTGCTTGTTGGGATGGTGGTCCGAGTCAATGCCTGAGCCAGGTTCTGACTGACACCCCGCATGCATAAGCTCTGAGAGTCGTTACAACTTTCAGCTGGATATTTTTAGAGAAACGTACATCAACATCAAGATGGACAGTGTATATTGGTTTAAAGTGCGTTTTAAGTGAGCTGGGATGATGATAAGGTTTTGGTTACTGATTGGTTACTGATTTGGTTACTGATTGGTTACTGATTGGTTACTGATATCCATACCTGGTTCAAGTTTTGACTCTGTATAGCGACAGTTAGATAATATATTTAATGAGACGTACATCTTCGACAGCTTGTATTGAATGATAATAATATGTTTGTGCGTCTGTTTGCACGAAGAAGGCAAACAACAGGGGAAAGAAGTGTGTACCAGCAGCGAGATAGTTACTACGGGTACCCACTACATGGTACCAGTAGCGAGGTAGTTACTACTTTGTAATTGTATGTTGAGAGCTGGACATAAAAAAGTACATTAAAATGGAAGATTTTTAGTGTATTTCTGGTATTTGGGTATAGTAGTAGTACTAGCAGTAAGGTAGTTACAAATTTAAGTATAGATATTTTTAGAAAAACATTAAGTAATGTCTCATGATGGATTTGGTTATTTGAGTGTTAATTGTTTGTAGGAACGAATAATCGAGGGGAAAAGGGTATAGTTATAGTATTATGGAGGTTGTTAATAAGATTTACTAAAGCTTTTTTAGGCATCTCCTCATTTATAGAAACCCCAAACCTCCGGAAACACAATCAGTACTTATTAACTTGATAATCATAATATATCTGAGAGATTCTGGGAATTATTTGTGGTGAATCCAGCAGAAAAAGCAAAATAAACGAGCTAATGAGTTACATGTTAATGAGGTTTTGGTTACTCATGATGATTTGGTTACTGATAATAATAATACCAGATCATAAGCCCACTACTGGCTTATTTTCTAACATATTACGATTTTTGAGCTCTTATGAGAACTTGGCTCACTAGAAATCCTAGCGGCGTTTAATAAGAAACTAAGTAAAGGACTAATTTCACAACTATACGACCTAAACGATTTGTAGATTCCTGTTCGACTCTGAACCCACAATTGATGGAATTAAACAGGAATTAAACCTCTTGTAAGAGGGAAACCTTGAAATTATCCGTAAAATTGGAAAGTTCGTGGTCAAGGTGGTACAGAACGTGCGTGACCCTGAAATTATCCAGTTTTCTGTTTTCTCCCCCAAAAGACTAACTATTAATTATCCAATTATATTTATTTGGAATTATCTGTAAATTTAAAAGTTCGTGGTCTAGCTGGTTCATGGTACAGCTGGTACAAAATGTCATTGTTATACATATCGGTTTGGCTGTGAAATTATCTGTAATTGTTGGTTTGTGTCTCCTCTACAAGTATGTAGTGAGTACGTCTGTCAATGTTAAAAGTCTTGTATTTTTATTATGTTTGTGATTGTTTGAGTAAAATGTTTTTGTTTAAACAAGTTAATCCAGCTTATAAATCGTTATTTTGATATTATTATCAACCAGGGACAAAAGGAAATCGCGGCATGTACGAAATTGAAATCGCGATTTTTCCCATTATTTATATACTTTTATGTATAGTCTGTTAAAATTCGCGGTATCGCGATTTTTGGCCAAAATAATCGCGAAATCCTTTTGTCCCTGTTATCAACTAATTAATACCTGACAAAAAAGTATTTAAATCGATTTGATTTAAACTAAATTTAATTACTTAAAGTCACATGATTCTCTTTCCCAGGATGAGTTAGGAAGAGACAACCGATGAGATTTATAATGAACCAGATAATTAACTTGTTATTTATATCGTACTTTTTACAACGAGGCACAGAAGCCAGATCTGCTCCCCCTCCATCAGGTTAATTAACTGAATAACTAACTAATTACCTAACTGAATAATTAACTTGTTAGTCAGCTCAATAACTAGATCAAATTATTCGAATGTGTAAAGAAAGGCACTCTATATGGGTAGTCCAACTACAGCTTTGATAACTCGCTGCCGACACAAATTAGCTATAGACCTGTAACAATTAATTCTTCTGTAGTAATCGTTTTTTAACTACCAGGTCTATAAGTTAAAAATACGATACAACCAAACTTTGGTTACTGTCAGTAAACTGCATTTTAGTGCTGTCAATATTTCAAATCAAACTTTTACAAGAACTGTAAAACAACTAATTTTTAACCTTGAGTGTGGTTTAAATAATACCATGTTTTACAGTGATCCATAACTAACAATAACTAAACAAGTGCTGATTCATAAGCTTCCGATGGTTCGTTTTTCCGCACTCTCACTGCAATTAAAAACTAACTATAATCGTAATTTAAAACTGCTTAAATAATTATAAATCGGAACGTGAAAACAAAAACCTTCACTCTGTAATTGTTTAACTTTTTTCGTACAGCTACTTCGTGTACGACCTAACTATAAACCATTCGCGGGAAATATCAACTGCCCTTCAAAAGAGCTCTAAAACTAAACAGAGAATATTTTTTCTTTGAACAATCAAACTAGATAATTTGTTGCATATACTGAGATCAAACTATCAATTTACAGGCTCTAGTCTTGTAGCTCTTCATCTAAACAACCCAACCGTATAAGCATCCAGCTATTTATAATGCTTACAAACATCTAACTGTTAAATTGCTACTATGAGATGCTCAAGCGCACAATTTGACAAACTTCAAGGCTGTCAAAAATAATGAAATGAATTTATACGAGTTGGGCACATGGAGGTACCGTTAGTGCCATACAGTTCTGTTAAAATCGATTTACGCTTTTTGAAAGCAAATTATTTTAGGTCTATTACTTTCTCAAAAACACTCAGATCACATACACTTAGTAAGTGTAACCTTAGTAACCGTAGTAACGGAACCTTATATTCCAGGACTCGAAGTCCAACACCCTATATACCATTCCTCAGACGAGTCCTCCTCTCCACGAAGCAGACCCAAATCTAATGGTAAATAATTACAGCTTATTTAACCAGCTGATTAACTAATTAATTGATTAACTGAATAGCTGTGTTTTTAAATAAATGGAATAGAAGAAGTGACGCACCATAAGATTTATATGCGACAATTTGATTTATCAGTTTCTCCTGCACGAACCAGACCTAAATCTAATGGTGAATAATTACAGCTTAAATCACACGATACGCTGTCTCCCCCACCAAAACCCCCGGTAACTCTATCACGGGGCGCCGTGTTGTGATCTAAGATATCCCATTATTTTACAAAGTATCAGGGTGATAGGGTATCGGAAACAATTTGTTTAAACCAGACTGGGTGATATAATGTGTGATATTTCCTATTGGTTAAGAGCAGGGCTCCAATCAGCGAGCAGTGATCGTATATCACGTGATGTTATGTCACGTCAAGGGGATTGTTTCCGTGTTTTAGTAACGAGCCTGTTAGGCAGTGATTATTTGCCATGGTTTCTATTTTAGATGAGTCATAAAGTCCCAGATTATGCCTGTATTTATTGGTACGTATCTCTTTAGCGCTAAAAGTTTACGAAAAAAACATTTTCTTGCGTTTCAAAAACGACAACATTTTAACGATTCTTTTCAGGACGAAGGTGGCGTAAGAATAAAAGAGTAAGAGAAGAGGAAGATAACGAAATAGATTTAGCGCATGCAGATTTTGAAGACAGCGAACTAGTATCAGATTTAAATGAAAGTAAGTTCGCAAATTAGTTACTTAAGACAAACAATGACTACGATTCTAGTCCTAGACTAAGACAATCGATTCAGTTTGCCACTAGGTTGTTTGGAGATATTAAATAGGTTCATACAGTACTATAACTCGAGGATTTAATGTTAGAATTATAAGTCGCTTGGAGATATTAAATCTTTAAATAGGTCCATGCAGCAAGGGATTTAATGTTAGAAATATGAGATCTACGAACAGACAGAGACCAACCTCTTTATAATGCAGCCCGAGGAAATAGTAATTTAGCATTATAATGGAATTAGCTTCATCATCTCAACAATATTATGGTATATTTATTTTGATGATAATTGGTGACGAAGTGAGATTCTCCACTCAGTGTCTCAAAACAAATTAGTTGTCGACGTTTGTTTTGAAACACTGAGTGCACACTTTCACTTCGTTACTAACTATCATCAAAATATATGATCGACCCACTCATAAGATCGAAGAAAGATTACCAATATGGCATATTACTGCAAATCCCAAATATTAAGTATAACGTTCTGAAAGAAAGATCTCTACGCCAATTAAGACGTTTTGGAGTTGAATCACTTGAATGTACTTTATTGTTGGTCCCAACAATATGGTATTTTACTGCACACTCGAATTAAGATACACACTGAATTAAAGATCAATAGGCTACTTAAGAAGTTTTTTGGTTTTGTAAAGACCTTGTAAAGACCTCAACTTGAATCATTTAAATGTATTTTAATATATGACCCCTAACCGCAACTCACCCCGCAGATATTATATTTGACAAACATAAAGACGTCGAATTAATACAAGGAGATATCTTAATAACGAGGTCGTCCCACGAAAGGGTGAAAAGAGGGGCTGTCCGTCCCATCACCATGTTATGGCCTAATGGCATTATCTATTACAAGTTTTCTCTCGGTTTAGGTAATTAATGGCATTATCTATTTCAAGTTTTCTTTCGGTTTAGCTAATTTCAATTGATTTGATATTTTCCATTGTAACAAGTTGACAAACGCATTAATCGGGCAGAATATTTCAAAAAAACTTATTCCATCAATAAAACAAAACTTATTTCAGGACAACTAAAAGTTCAATTAGTTTTAAGTGCGATGCAACATATCATGGATTATACTTGCGTTAAGTTTTCTGAAAGGTTAAACGAAACAGACTATTTGAATATAACCTCTGAAAAAGGGTAAGTTATTTCTACTGCAAAATTGAAATATTAAAGATGAAATTACAGTTGTGCTTCTTCGATTGAGCTCAATAAAATTGCATCATTAACATTAATAATCAGACGCCATCTTATCGAAATTCAATCAACTTCTCAAACGATGGTGATTACTATAACCTGGCACAATATGGTCAACGGATAATCGGTCAAATTTTATCACCCAATTATTAACCACAATAATCACTCCAGGTGTTACTCCTGGGTGGGTAAGAGAGGCGGTCCGCAGGAGGTATCAGTAGGAAGCGGCTGTGTAACCATGGGAATCATCGCCCACGAGCTCTCCCATGCAATCGGTTAGCACTCAACCTTTGTTAGACTAATCAATCACTGTCACTATCTTGATAGATAAGACATGCAATCACGAGGTCCGTGTTTGCGAGGATTCGTGTTAAATTATTGATGTTCATTTTAAAAGTTATGTAATTTCAGGTTTCTATCACGAACAAAGCAGGCCGGATCGAGACACCTTTGTTGAACTGATAAAGGACAACATCAGACAAACACAACTAGGTGAATATTTTAACAATTAAGTAATATTATTTATAGATTAACAAGTCAGCCATTGTACTATTGTATTACTGATAACTGATTGATCAATTAATTAACTGATTAATCAATTAATTAACTGATTAATCAATTAATTAACTTATTAATTAACCGAAAACTCGCAGAGAATTTTGAGAAGCGTCATGAAACAGAGGTAGACTCACTGAATGTACCCTACGATTACGGAAGTATAATGCACTACGGGTTAAAGGACTTTTCTGAGAACAAGTTACCCACGCTGAAGGTAGGACTGCAAGAGCAGCTGTTAGTTTGTTATAGATGTTCATTCTGGTGAGGGATATTGTTTTGACACGTGACAATAATAAATCAATCAGCTTCCGTTACTAACCAATCAAACCCCAAAACAATTGTCACGTGTCAAACAAATATGCCTCATCTCCCATCAGAATGCACAACCCACATCTATATGAGTAGATTCATTTGCTCTTGTTACTGGAATTGTTTTGAAATAGTTTGGCTTAGCCTGACTCCAAAATTAATCAAAAAAATGTACAAAAAAAATCAACAACACCGCGTGTCCACGTAAGGAACATCAACATTTCATAAGAGGCCTAGAAAAAAGCTTGATATTAAACTGCCTTCTTTCAGACGTTACAGCAAGTGCCTTCTGGCGTGCAAATTGGACAACGAGTACGACTGAGCATTCATGATATTGAACAAGCTAATCGACTGTACAAATGCCCGAAAAAAGGTAGGTGTACCTTATTAAGGGAACCTTGGAGTGAATCTCCAAGCAGCGCTGGTGCCAAATTATCATTTGATTAAATCACCGAACGAAGCAGAATTTATCCGACCAATCACAGTAGACGAAGTGATCTAGTTTTCAAATCGTCGATTAACTGGGTCGTAGAGCTGTCGGGTTAGGTCGTTACCAAAACCACAGTTCCACTTCACCGATTTCATTTGGCCTGATCTCAAACCACTTTAAACCAATTTTTATCTTACCGCTTTTAACCACCTTTTAGCACAGCATAGCCAGCTTATATTACCACCTGTAATCGACTTTAACCAGCTTTCTCGTCAGCAGAGCCGTCAGATCGGGAAGTGTCAAGATCCAACAGAAAAGTGGGAGTTTCCTTGGGGGATTCTTTGATGATAGTCGGTGGTAACCAGGACACTACGGAACCTCTTTGCTTGGACGGCATGACTTATAAAGGTAATTATTGTTTTTTGTTAAATTCCTGTTTAATTCCTGTTCAGCTTCTGTAATGGTAAGTTACTCTGACAATGTGCTACCTCCTTTACCAATGCCATTATAAAGTTTTCCTTTCCCGAACTTGACATGTTCCTTATAACATGTCTTTGTTTGAATTAATTTACAAAGAACACGATCCACTGATTTGAATTAAGGGGAATATGTAAATATGAGTCATATTTACATATCTATAACGGTTATCAACCAGAACCATTAGTCCTGAGCTGGTACAATATAAAGCAATAGAAAGATATAAGTAGTGCAACTGTTATCTAAGTTGAGAGCCGCGGCATCTCTTTCTAGTAATACTCCTTTATAAATTCATCTCTTTCTGATATTCTAGGAGAGGTTGCTCTGGTACAATAAGTAATAACATAACTCTTTATATAATTATAAACGCGGCCTTGCATTAACTCATAAAGTCCAGTCTCGGCAATACACGCATTACTGATAAAGCCCTCCTTAGCGACCCCATCTCAATTGGATCGTCTACTTTCCCTGACAGACGTTTGTTCCTATATCTGTATTAGTAAGCCTGGGTGTTTCCTAATGGACTAATGCCCTGAGCCCAGCTTTTCCGCAGAGGTAATGTAGACTGTGGAGAGAGTTAGAGAGCAGGACGCCCACCAGAGTCACTAATCCGGGCATTAATGGGACCAAATTAATTTAATGCAATAATGTCAACTTTTTATCCTTTATGGGGGTTCTAACACCTTCATGTGATTGTGTAGTAACTTGAGGAGTGCCTAATCTATCAAATTGTAAGCGCGGCTCGGTGTTGCCGTCACCTTGTTAGGGTTACTATTCGGTTAAGATTAATCTTGGAAAGTGCCTAAAGAAGAAAAATATAAAAAAGGTTGTATCTTGGGGACGATTCAAAATAACTTAAATCAGCCTTGTTACATGTGGACACACAATATGAGGCTTGGATTCTTCACTATACATCATCAGAGCCTTTAAAAAACTTAAATCAGCCTTACTATATAATAGCTCTATCCGCGTAGAAGCTTTCAAATGACCTAGTCTGCCTGCACAATCCATTCTTATCCACACAAAGTTGTATTAATTAATAAAGTTACTAATGACCCAACTCTCCCCAGGTAACTTTGTACTGGTCACAATGTGCTCCTTATCTAAAAGCAGTTTAAAGTGGAGCTGGACAGACAACTACCAACTCAGAAATGACGGTAAATAAATGAGCCTGATGTTAATAATACGCTTTGACGTCAAATTTGCTGAATGTGTATCGCTTTTACGTTTGCCGTTTAAGTTAATACTAGTTTAAAAGTTTGAACTTTAAAGATCCTACTTGCATGACCACTTAACCATTTAAAATTTAGGGCATGAACATCATTTTATATAGCAAGATACTGTTGCAAGGAATGTTCTTCATAAATAACGCAGGAGACAATTATATTATCGGGAATTAAACCAGCTCGAGGAATGTCCAAGAATCACAATCTTTAATCTCAGGGAACACCCTGTGTTTGTCGGTGGACCAGGAGAACCACATGGTCGGAGGATCTGAGGATGTGCCCATGAAGATGACCACCTGTGACGACAACGACGATAGACAAAAATGGATCTGCACTGGAGGTAGATATATATATATTATTTCAAATAGGATTAAAAATATAATGTTTGTTTGAGACATTCATAAGTCTTTCGTTGACGTAGTTCTGAGATTCATGTTATGGTTTTGTTAACGCCACCAGATTTTTGAAGTAAAGAGGATATTTTTAGTTTATAGAGTTTGGCTTGATTCGGCGAGAGAACCATCAATAATTATTAATTAGCTTAAATTTCCGATGCAAAGAATTTTTGTCGAAGGCACTCAATAATCAGGATAGTTCTTTTTTCTATGAGTGTCATTATAATTGCAGTCATTAGTCATGTCTAAGAATAAAGTATCTAACGGCTATCTAAAAATGAAAGGTTGCTCGTTCTAACAATAGATATACCATGAAACCTGACTGAACAAAAGGAACACTGTGACCAGAAGCCATGACAGAAGTATCGGCTCCAAAATGGCTGGATCTAACTGCTCTTTAAATAGAGAACTTAGCAACTGCTCGGAGTTCCTCCAGAAGTGCCAGGGAAATCCTTCCTGTTGTAATGTTTGAGAATTTGAAGGTCACGTGATCTGTCCGTTGGAGGAATGTTTTGATATCTGTCTCCTGGGTAGAGAATCAATTCCATTTGCGAGACTACATTATAAAATTTCTTCGTCGTAAAATTCGATTGGAAAACACGTTTACCACATCAAAATCCTTCACTTAATGTTAAAATACGTATTTAGGCGAGGCATGACATTTGCAGTCAAGATATGGCAGCCTCCCAGTGTTAAAATTCTTTATCGGTTTAATTTACACAGCTATAAATACAATGTGCATAAAAACCACCGGTTTGTGCACCGTGTAAGCTTTTAACCGTGCATCGATCGAAACAAGCTAATTTCAACTGATAAAGTTGATCAATTCCCACGTATATAACTTCTAAATAATAAATGATTTTATACTCCTGTGGAAAGCTCTAGAAGATTGAGTGATCAGCATGTTATAGACAGAAGTCTATCTTTAGCTAAAGGAGAGAAGACAACTGTTAACTCTAATTTTACCCTATTTTTACTCTATATTCTCTAGGTTTCCTAAAGAATCTGGCACTCAACAAGTGCATCAACGCAGGATGGCGGCAATACAGACGAAACTACATGACAGCAGTGTCATCCTGTGACAATTCTGATATCAACCAGGTAAATGGAAATACATAATTAGAAATAGCACCAGTTTAGGAATAGCATGTTTATATGAATAGCACGCATTTTTTGTCAGGACACTAGTTTTAAAATAGCACTTTTTCTGTCGTGATTGCAGCTTGGGGAAACTATTAGGAAAATTCGGTAAAAAGAACTTCGTTAGTACCTCAAAGTTTAATATGAGTGGATTTTTACAGACAGTGAACAGCGCAGCTTCAAACGTGACTTTCCATTTATACCTAAACTAGAAGTAGAACAGATCTTTAACGATCAAAGACATTTTGATGGATCATTTACCCGATTCCAAAGTCTTTAACTTGACATTTGAACGAACTCTGTGAAGATATTATATAATTCACGACTTTCCGACAAAGATAATTTGCTTGGTTACCTAGTTAATCTCCGGAAATATTGAATCATTCAGCGGCCTGTATAATGCTAGAAATACGAACATATTTTTATTTTACAATTTGTCCGACATAGAAGAAAGAAATGTCGTGAGTTAAAATAATTCCTACGCACCCAATGACTGTCAAAAATTCGGGATTTTTGACCGATTGCAAAATTAAACTCTTTCTCCTTCTGGGTTACATTTTGCGCTAGTAAGTCTTGATACAGTTTGATCTTACTCATTACTATCACCTCGAATAATCCGCGCACTAAACTCGAGGTTTTTCAGCGTGAAACAGCTAAACGTCCACTTTTTGCCTAGGTTAGTAGGTTTCTCAACATTAATATTATCAAATTTAAACAGTACCTTAGAAATCATATGATAAACTGTTCACAAAAAAATATAGTGATCGAAATGAATAATTTTGCATCTAACTGAAGCTGTACCTCTTTAAGTCTTTAGCCATTTGATTGGTCGAAATCTTCTAATAAGTTCACTACGTAGATCGCCCAATGAAAGAGTTGCTCTGCTGTCGGGCAGATCAAGTCAAGGTTAACTGGGCGGCTCTCAGCCTGTCATTTCGCCAAATCTCTATTCTCTCGATTATGAACATACATATAATAGCCTGGGGTCCCCAGGTAAGTGAAGGATCTATAAATTCTATATTTATGAGCCCAGTATGTACCAAGTATGGAGCTATGGGAACCTGGAGGCTGGAGCAACTTACAAACAGTCTGACTTCCGAGAGAGCATTATTATAGTTGTGTGTATTAATATTATAGCATTATAACATCTTGAAACATAATATTCAGACCCAACCTGACTGTCTGATCATTTACCATGCTGAGTTGTATAATTATAAAGGGTGCACCTGGTAGTGACTGCTATGCAGGCTATCCTAGTCAGCTTGTGTCCCGTCTGCACAACCTTGAGAAATCTTAACTAAACTACAGCTACTTATAGTTAAAAGTCTAATAAACGTTTGGAACATTTGAACTTTCTTGCAGAGCTTGGGAGTTCGTTTAATGGATGAGATTTTCTGGGAAAGAGTCTGGGGATGCTAAAGTGACTGTTTAGTTTGGCGGAAAGTTCTAATCGAACTGAGTCAAAGATAGATAGCGGTGGATGAAAGTCAAATAGGTTAAGGTCAGATCAGTTCAGCGTGGAGACCTCCACGAAGCTTGTGGTTCATGATGACGTGTGTCGCCGTGTCGCGTATGGTGCTATAGTCGCCCTTTAACGTCATGTAAACATGTGAACTGTGCAGTTACATTTCGATGGTTGGAAAGGTTTTATATACATAGTGCCATTTATCAAGTGGTTAGAAGATTACCTAATCTAACCATGATGGTTAAGTCGTGAAGAGCTGTGCTGACGATAGTTCACAGATTGAGGAGCGTTTCAGCTTTCGATTTGGCTACAGATACAATATTTTAATTAATTAAATTTACAGATCCTCTGAAGTTGAACTTGAACCTTTAAATTTGACCACAATTTTTTCAGGTCATGAGTGTTTACGGAAAGGGAAAAAGATATGAACCAGTGTGCCGAAGATGGAACGTAGGGCCACAACTTGAATGTCATCAGAAATTCCCAACCGAGAGAACCTACTTAGGTTGGTAAATAGTTATCATAAGATCATCATCATATGATATGAATACTCTATAATATAGAATTTTCGTTTGATTCTGTTGTCGTTGACATCTAATTCTAAGCCCGTGGTACTGAATCCAGCGTTGTTGCCAATCATTTAATCATTATTACTTATAAATTCCATCCAAGACCAGTCCCTTATTGTAAGGCCATAAAGGTGTGCACGAGGCCTCAAGAAGATGGCATTTCAAATTATTTAGAAGTTTTCCCGGCGCGTGCTGAAGTTTAAACCTGTTTACCATTCAAAGGCTGTGAAAGGGACTACGAAGCTATGATAGGTTTCGAAAAGGTCGGAAAACGAAACAACCTGAAAGCTATCAGGTCGGTGGAGTGCTGCCAGCTGACCAACTCAACAGGAAACGTTTACAGGACTTCCATCAGGACAATCTACAAGACTGGATCGACGGAGTGCCACGATGGTTACTTCGTTCAAGGTGAGGGGGCAGGCATTGGGTAATCGAGCGCTGCAAGGCGCGCGCTGCAAGGCGCGCGCTGCTGAAAATAGCCGCTGCTGAAACTTGCAGCTTTATCCCGCATGAAACCCTGCTGAATCAGATAAACATCAGCTGCAATTCATTAATATCCGAGATCCAAATCAACCACTTTAGATAGCAACAAGATAATAATACTTTTCTTTAATTAATTGAGAGCTTCAGCATGAAAAATGATTACCTACTTTTGAGCTGCAGTGATTTTGGAAACTAATAATTTTAAATTTTCTAGGACTGGGGCTTGCTCGCGCCCGGACAGGTACAGCTTCTATGTTGTGATTCATCTTGCCTACTTGATTTGACTACTTTTCGTAGGCAGAACTTTTATATACCAAGTAGAAAAATTTTGCTTCAACATGACTTGACCCAACTTAGCTTTTTTAAATCCTTTGGCATTCATAAACCTATCCCCATATAGACGTTTTTTAAAGCCTCAATGCTTTAAAAAGATGCTTATTTTGGTTGAAATTTCAGATTTAATTACAGCTAAAGGAAGCATTACATTTTTGGGTCAAGTCCTGTTTCGCAACCACGATTCTAAGCGTGTTCTATCATAGTCGCTTAATGATCTTGCATCTTCAAACAATTGCAATATTTTTGATACCTTACAAATGCATGGGGAAATCAAACTTAAATGTTGTGCCGCATGAAATCACGATTTTACAATTTGCATCAGATTTATAAGCATGTAATAAAAGCAACTCTTTAGCCATCCCATTAGTCATACATTCTTAGTTCTTTGTTGACAACCCAAGTTAACTGTTAACAATCGTTCAAAGACAATATTTTTCCTGGAAAGACAGATCTTTTCAGCATCTATACGTGTCATCTCAGGCGACATTTGCCATGAAAACTATTTTGTCAGATGTATCGCTAAAAAACTGCATCAAAAGATTGCCTGGCCTAATAGTAGGAAATATACGAAGTTATATCAATTAAACTATAAATTGATTAAACAACAAGGCCTGATAAAATATTTACAGGTATCAGACTACATAAGATGAGAGAAAGGTCGCTTAAAGCTTTGGCTTACCTCCACTGCATGAAACCTTCCGATGATATCAGCTACGAGAACTGCTACTGGGATGAACTAAGGGCCCCTGTAAGTACCGATCTTAATTGTGATTAGCTGAACATGCGGCCTCCCAAAATAAAAGGGGTTTCCTATTAAATAAGAGGGGTTTAAGAGGGGTTTAAGAGGGGTTTAAGAGGGGTTTCCTGGTTACGCGTCGAACAACTAATCTTAATCATGCTCTGTTCGTGAGCAGATAAGTAGATTTAAAATCATGTATTTATATTGGGATCTTAATTATAATCAACCTGGTACGAAGGGCATGGTAAAGACAGAAACTTCTCGCTGATCCCTGTCTTTAAACATTCTTATCATGCTCTCTTCGTGTGAAGTTTAGTAGATAAAAAGCTGTTCTGCTGTTTTATGCGGATCTTTATCATAATTATACTGATACTCATTTTGGAGCGAAAAGTAAAACTTCGTCCTATATCATGGTCCGAGCGTAGTCGCACTGGACTGTGGTAAAAACTAAAATCTGCGACATTTGGGTTCGATCCGATCTGATACTGTTGTAATCGTTAATGACTACGTCAGTAGGTACTAAATGGATTATATTTATAAAGATCAGGCTGAAGAGCACGATGAGGGTTCATTTCTTATTAAAGTGTTTATAATTTAATTAATTATAATTATAATTTAATTAATTGTGCATCGTGTGCTACGATAAATGCGTCCATCGTTCCTCAAATCTTCGAATGTACTATAGTACTATGGTAAGTGTAATACTCTACCTGGTATCTGTCGAAATATTTCAAGTTGAACATACCACAGAGAGAAATAGCGTCATAGATTTGTGGAGCCAGTTCACGACAATTATAAGTAGTGGTATTCGGTAATCGGCCCAAATAGAGTTAAAGGTGCACTTGCAAAAGCTAGGATATTTTACCGGAAATTGTGCTTCACTATAATAATCGCGACATCACGTTCACCGTCACGTAATTTACAGAGGTTCTGAGAATATTCTCCTAGACAGTTTGAACAGACAGAGAGTAGTAATCACCGTGCAGTTACCATGGTTACTGCATGTACTGTGCAGTCGACAAACTAAGTGATTAAGTAGAATTTATGATTTAGCTTCTGCACTGTACAACTATTTTCGCGAACTCTTGTTCTTCAGTTCCTGGTTAAGTGTTAAGACCAGATACCAGATTTAAGATTTTCTGTGAGACTAAAAATTTCACTGTCTCCAAGATTACTAACAGCCTCCATTTCAGTCCAACAACAAAGGGATGAACGTGTGCTCACGGGGTGGATTTTACATGACTGGACTCTACAAGAAGGGCTGCACTCGACTCAGCTGCATCAGCCAAATCAAGTGCTGTTCCGTCAACCTGCACACCAACTACACGTGAGAGAGATGAAGGTGGGGAGGTAACCAACCTTGGTGACACTACTTTCATCACCATGGTGATACCACCTCCATCACCACGGTGATGCTACTCAAATGCCATGGTGATGCTAATTCTAGTGCTGTCAAACAAGAGAGGGAGCTACTCACCTTCATCCAAAAAACTCACAAATTATCTCGGATATGATAGAAAAAGGATAAGACCAGGAAAAGTACGAAGAAAACACGAAGAAAACAACGTGCACTGCAGTGGTGCTAGGAAGGAAAAGTCACGTGTTTGTCACGTGTTTGTCACGTGTTTGTGTCGTGCTTGTGTGCTGTATGGTTGACGATACTGGACTTTTGGTCAAGGCGCGCACCCAGGAACTCCTGAAATTGAGTTTTATATTTTAGTGATGAATAATATTTGATTTTTGATAAATTATGGAGTTGGTGTTGACTGTGCGTTATAATTAACTTTTTTGTCTTGCTAGAATATGTATGCACAGTATGATATTATATTCTGAACCATGGAAAACTATTTCAGCATATTTTAGAATTTCGAATTTATTTTGAGATTTGTGGATCATTAGTAAAAAGGTTTTTAAATCTTTTAATAATAGAACTATAATCGTTTAACGTGTTTTTGGCTTCGCTTAAGCAATGCTGGCGAATGACTGATCTAAAAAGTGAGCATTAGTCTGCGACGAAATGTTTAATCACTTTGCTAAAGCCTAAAAAGTGACATATTTTCCGTTTAATGGCATTTCATGGAATGAAGTGAACTAGGAGAAAAATCTGGACATTTTTACGAAATAGTAAAATCTGGACATTTTTATGAAATAGTAAGTAACAATCTCATAATCGCGTTTATTGTCAATTTTTACTTAGTTTTAACCCCCTAGACGGGCGTACGATATATGGATTTATATCGAGAAATATTAATTTTGATTTCGCGTTTAATTTATTTTATTATATTTTGTAAAAAGTCTGTAAAATTTACAATGTATTGTCAACCACCGTTTCGATGAAAGAATTTAACTGTCTTAAGCTGGAAAGATACGCAGTTTCATTAAAATGTTTACAAAGATCGTCATGAGTTAAATCAGCTAGAGATAATTTGAATAAGAATGAAATTAATATAGTACGAATATAATACGAATTCGGGTGATAAAAAAAAAGAAAGGTGAATCAAAAATGAGCGATAAAAATAAGCGTTTAATAAACACTGATAAACCGAATAAGGATTAAACTTAGATGAATCAATAATCAATCTATGAAATTGACGATTACTTTTAAATGATCATGCACCCTTGAGAGTTGAGCTTGCTCGTTCATTAGATTTAGTGGATTGAAAATATGATGTGTTATTGTTAATGGTACATTCACAGAACTACACAACGATAATCCGCCGTCCCATCTATCAGACATTATATATATGATAAATAGCTTTAAATGATGATGAGTTTGCCTAAGATCAGTGAACGCATGATCGCCTCAAAATTATCGATGATCATACCCCAAAATACAACTCCAATAGTAACATTTGTTTTGGTCCTTTTCTTAATTTTTTGGCCCAGCCAATCTACCTAGTAACAGAATTAAAAAGAATTACCCATAATAAGTTAAATTATAATCAGTATCAAGTTTAGAATTTATAAACACACCACACAAACAATATTAGAATATTATATATTTTCCTACAAAATATCAAATACCATTGCATTGGTCCATTTCTTCAAATCATAAAATAAAAGTTGGAAATAGAATATCACTTCACAATGCTGACGGCGAATGATCCGGAAGCTTTTTTATGGTTACAACTGACCGGGTACCTTCCGTAGCCACATTTTAACGAATTTTCAGGTTAAGTCGGAATTGAATCTACTCGTTGTAATGAAATGTACAAGTAAAGTCAGCTATCCAATTATTTCCAGCTATTATCTAACTATGATCTGACTGAATTTAAATGAATTTCATGATCGAACTACATGACCACAGTTTCAAACCAATTTGAGAATCCCCTTTAAAATCATTATCCCATAATGTCTCTTCCTCTAACTTCCTCAACACCTCAACCTTTTCCTTACATTGACTCGATACCAAAATAAAGCTTATCAGCTGAAAATAATCAACGAATACGTTTTTGAAAGCTTCCAGGTATGAGGTAACCAGCAAACTACCGTTTGACAATTCACACACCCTTCTAGAACCTTCCGTATTACAGCATAGCCGGTCTGACTACATTTACAATTTAACAGGATGAACTCAACCCCTAATAATAATAATTGAAGCTGGCAAACATCCCCGATCCCCGAAACCACCAAAAAACGAATAATAAGAAAAATTTGCGACTTGAGTCGGCACGCGCAGGAATTTGATGCTCCTTCATCAAAATTTGCGTGAGGTTTCGTTCAAAACGTTCAACTTTTTAACACTTGCCCGTTTAAAATGTTGGGTAAACTGCCTCGCCTTTTTTTCGACTAGACTATGGGAGAACTTGTGATGTTTGCATTTCAGTGACAAACGATTGCCGATTGCTCTTTACAAAATGTGAGAAGCCTGTATCTGCTTGCCACCTTTTGGACGAAGCTTACACGCACGTATACAAACTTATGGTTATAAAGTTATAACCAAACCCCTGCATGTTTGATCAAAATGAATCGATCATTAATGTAAGTTGTGAAGTTGTGAAAACACTATAATACGCCGTGACATTAATCACCAATCCTATTGTTTACGACACTATAAATTTCTGACGTAAGACGTCAAATTATAAAACTTAGTTGTGAAACACAACAAGAAAATTGAGAATAATCTTGTGCGAGGTTATCTAATGAACTACCTAAACCTACAAGGATATAACTTAACATCTATACGTATCTAACTGAAACACTACTATACGGTTGCTACCCATGCACACTTATAACTGCAGTCAACTACCTCAGTAATCATATTGTTCCCGTCCTGATCATTCATCCAAATATGGTATTGGTGATTAAGACGCAGTGTCTACTGTAATGAGATGAGCTCCAGCTTTCGATGGTCTTATATAATGGTTATATTATGAGTGTTTCGTATTTCATGGGAGGGTTCATATTAGAACTTTTCATTTAAAAGTGATGTCATAGCAACTGGTCGTTTTGACCTTTCTCTTGAGGAGAACTTCGTTTCGTGTTTGAATTTCAAAATATGTTTACCAACGAGGCATTGCAACTGTAAGCTGAACATCCAGAGAAACGATGCATTGCAACTGTAAGCTGAATATCCAGAGAAATTTTTGATGAAAGGAAAATTATGAAAATGTCCTACCGCGCGGTAGAAGATTTTCAGATTTCAGCTTTCCGCGACCCAAATTTCACTGTTTTGACTGAATTTTTCTTGAATGATTATCTAAAAAAGTCACTAAGGATAACACAAGACACGATTGAGGCGCTGAAAGTTCTATTCCCAAAGAAATTCAGTTGTTATAAACGTTGAAAACGTTTTTTTTTCCCCATTCTAGTTCTACTTCTAGTTCTAAACGATAAAAATTGTTTTGTAGGGCACCCCAAATTAGAGCTTTTATTTGGGGTGGGAGGCGGGAAATGTGGAATTTGAATGAATTCACTTATAAAAACATAAATATCTATTGTTAAAATTGCCAACATTTTGAAAACGTCAAACATTTTGAGATGTTTGTAAAACATAAACAAATAAACTAAACCCGTTTTTATCGTTTTTGATCGTATTTTTCAACAAGTGGTTAAAAACGTTTTTTATTCCGAAATCAACCGTCCATAACTATTATAAAACGAAGAAAGCTTAATTGATAAACAGAAAATCATCGAAATAGAAAAATAGATTTTTGAAAAGAAGCTTTTCTGCCGTATCTGCTTGACCAAAATTTCACGGTTTTGGCTGAATGACCAATCAGTGAGGTCGGTGAGAGTGACTCAAGTCGTCATTATGGTATTGAAATCAGTGTATCCGGAGAAAACTTTGACGGAATGAACATTTTGAAAATGTCCTACCAGTAGGAGTAGGGCACTTTCTGATTTAAGTTTTCCGCGGCCTAAATTTCATTGTTTTGACTGAATAACTCTTGAATGATCATCTAGCAAAGTCACGGAGGATAGCATAACACATGATTGAGGTACTGAAAGTTCTATTCCCAAAGAAAGCTTTGATAAAAGGAAAATCATCACATTATCATAAGAAAACATTTTGAAAGATTTTTGACAGGTTTAGAATCAGACTTCCTCCAACAATTCAAGTACAAAAACTTGTTTATACTTTTATATAACTATATAACATAAGTCTCTTAATTGTTTTACTTACAATTCCGTACTACTACTGCCTGTCGGAATATGTGCAGATATTGTACGTTATTTCGAAAAGAATCTTTGAAAGAGTTTTCCAATTTTCCCACGATTCTTAATATTATTATTAAGCAGAAAAATCAGATTAAAGTTTTACTATCGAGCTCAGCTGAAAGACTTTTTTGCGGTTTTTCATGTTGACGATCGGTCTGAGAAGCGTCGGTAAAATGATCCTTAAGAATAAAAGGATATTTTAAGTCATAATGCATAAATGTTTGCTACAAAAGTGCAAGCATTTTGTTATGACCTGGTAGCTTTAAACAAACACCAGTACTTAAAGTTAAAATCACGTCACTTCAATAAAAGTTCGTATTTGGTTTTTTTGACCGCATCCATTTTGATTCTCACGTAAAATGCTGTAATGGCCCCATATTGGCGTGCAAGAATGGATTGACGGATGTTACTCGTCTAAATTTCTTCGAAGTAGCGCGCCGACGGCACGAGCTACGAAGTAGCGCGCGCCGGGCCAGATCATTAACAATGGTCAAAAGAATGGAGCGTACAAAAACATGTCGGATATATTCCATGCTTGTTAGTTGTTTTCCAGTTGACACTGACAAGCTGTCTTCTCAATCAGTCTTCAGATTTGCTTGAGGAGACTCAATTTAGTTTGTTTTATAATATGTTCATTGTTAACAGGATAATTATAACTGATGATTAATGTTTGATTGGGGTCATACTGATTTGGTAAAAGTATTTGATTTGTTACTGCTGTCAGATTATGGTTTATGTCACTTTCTTGAACTATATTTAACAACTATCAGTGTTAAATACTGTGCTATATTATGTGCTAAATGTTAAATACTGTGCTATATTATGTGCTAAATGTTAAATACTGTGCTATATTATGTGCTAAATGTTAAATACTGTGCTATATTATGTGCTAAATGTTAAATACTGTGCTATATTATGTGCTAAATGTGCTCTCACTTTCTTGAACTATATTTAACAAATATCAGTGTTAAATACTGTGCTATATTATGTGCTAAATGTCACTAACAGCAGCATCGAGCTTTTACTTACTCAGCCATTTCAATTTCAGTCTCTAACTAACTTGGTAACTTGGTAAGGTTTATCCTCGTAGCAGGAAGGGTCATCAGATGTCTGACCACCGTGATGGCGTGTAGTCTACCAAGGAATTCGACCAGCTGCACGTATAACCGGAAACCGGAGGGTTATCCGGTATCAAAGCAAGAAACTTCGACAAACTGACTTTGAAGCTGGCAAATGTTTTATCGGCTTTCACTTCAATCGGCACCTTATTCCACAGTTTGGATCCTTTTACTGCGAACGAGGTATCGTACAGTGTCTGGTTTCTCATCGAACTCGACTTTGATAGAGAAGGAACAACTGCTTTAGTGCCATATCTGGATGTTTCCACAAACTCGATGCTACAGCTATTTGGAACAACGTTATGGTACGTTTTCCACATCATCAAGATGATGTATCTCTCCCTTCTCCGTTGCAGGGACATTAACTTCAAATGAGCTAGCCTCTCCCAGTAGTTTAAGCTGTATAGACCACCAATGCGGCTTGTAAAGGTACGCTGGACCCCCTCCAAAAGCTGAATCTCTGTCGTCTTGACTGGGTCCCACAGCGGACAACAGTACTCCAATAAGCTTCTGACTAGAGACTTGTAGAGGATCATCATAACCACTTTATCCCGTGTCTTAAACACACTGAACACCCAAGACAGT